TTTCATCTTGTCTAGATGGGTCTGGTAAAAAGAGACAGTGATAAGATTCTTATGATTCAATACTGAGTAATTATTATTATGACTAATTGTGATTGTCACAATTGTAAAGGTAAAAGTTTTGTAACAAAAATGGGGGGAGTAGTTCATTTTACAGTCCAGAAACAAAAGACCCTAGGACCATCAAGGAGAAGAGCACAAGTGGAATGCAAGACCTTATCCAGAGAAGCGGTGACACCATAGATGGAGACTCTAGATTCATGGGAAGAGAGGCACTGAGAATTGGCAGACTTGCAGAATGTGCCCTTTGGTGGTGTAAATTATTACCTATGTCTAAGTGTTTTGTTTTGTTTTTTGTTTTTTTTAAAAGTTAAAATGAAAAGAGAGAAATACTGTTAATTGATGATACATGGACGGGATTGTAATCATTGTAATGAAACAAAGTATATGATTTGTTGAATGTAAAACCACTGATCTGCCCTGTAAAATTTCACTCAATTTACAATGAAAATGTAAACAAACAAACAAAACACATTAGTCTAGAGCTCAGCCAGAAACTAAATCCAAACTGATATGGACTGCAAATCAAGTAGTATAGACTTGTGAGAAAGAAAGTTTTTGAGTGTTTGTCAGAGGAGCCTAATTTTCCCATAAACCTTCTTAATTGGCAACTACAATAATATGGAGAAAGCCAAGCTGAGCACAGTGGAGAGAGTGATGCGTGGACAAGCTGACAAAGCAAATGAAGCGAACTGAATACTGTACCTGCTTATTATTGTCAGCGGTACAACACAGTTTCTTGAGGGAGACAAAATGCCTAATTTTCCTAATAACATAAATAACCAGTTATTAGTGAGTCAGATAGGAGATGATTCAACAATCAGCAAATGAAAACATCAACAGAGTCTTCTTAAAGCAAAACTCCAGAGTCTTTTCTCGGGCAGATTTAAAACTCAAACTAAGCTCAATCTATAGAAAATGTATTGGTCACACATGCTTCCCATACATGTCTTTACAAACTGTACCTCTGTTCTCAACTGAGTAGAATCAGGAACACTTGCTTAATGGGTATTTCATTTTATAACTGACTCCTGATGTTTAGCTCATAGATATAGCTTCAGTAATAGGATGAAATGCTACTATAGACAAAATTAGTTTTAATTCTGCTGACACTAATAATTTTATAGCTTATATATTTAAAAAAAAGCTCATCTGAACAATGACCAAATTCCATGGTTACTGTTCTTATGTTTTATATTCTATAGTCTTCATAGCATGGGCATCATTATATAATGGTGTTTTTCAGGCAGAGAAACATCGTCTTATTTCAAGGAAGTAACTGGATCCTGAAACTCAGCTTGCGGTCTTGCTCATGACCACAGGGAGCCCAAGCAAATGGCTACAGGTGCCTCAGCCCCGCCATGAAATCTAGAGACTTGTGTTAAGATTTTATAGTAATGACTTCTCTTTGTCTCTCTCTTCCTTTAGTTCAGTTTTCTCTAGAGCTTTCTGAAGAGAACATTGAAAGTACTGTTTAATTTGTAATGAGTGTCACCAAATAGGAAGAGGTAAAAATTTCCTAAACAGGAATTGTCTTTGAGATTTCACTGTCTGCAACAGTTGGGAAAAATAACACTGGACAAAAGGACTTATTCCTGTTATCTATAAAGTCAGAAGGATCAGAAACCTGTAGTCTGACAGAAATTACTGGGCAGTGGTGTTCTGCTTCAGTTATTAGTCATTCTAGTCACACATACACAAAGTAATTCTTAGTTTCAGTTTTCTGGGGAGTTGGTGTAAAGTTGATGATAAAAACAACGGGACAGCCATGGGCACTGTCTCCCTCCCAGAGACTCAGCACACTGGGGCTTGTGGTGAAGTGGAGGCCGGTGCTGCACAGGAGGAGGGCCCAGGGGGCAGCTTTGCGATGTGCCAGGGGCCTATCTGTGCCCAGACCATCCACAGTAAAGGTATAAGGGACCATCAATAACAAAATGGCATGAGATATTAGATGGTGGTCTCTAAATGGATGGAGGCTCAAAATCAAGTGAAATTGGAGGGAAACAATTCACAAATACTTGGTTGGTTTTATGGAATGTTTAGTTTGTTAATCAGATCATCTTAAGAGTCATTGGTGGAACTTTTCTGTTCCAGCTACTGGCAGGCTCCCTGTCAGCTTGTCTATTTCCAAAACGCCCCACACAGTTGTGGGTGTTGACCTTCAGGCTGGCTTACAAAGGGGCATCGGTGATTTTTTGTCACAGAATCCTCTTTGACGCTGTAAACCTTCTCACAAAATTAAGTGGGGGAAAAGGGGAAGGAATTGAATATTTACTTTATCTCCCCACAAAATAAATACGCTTTTATGATAATCTGACCTGAACTGGAATCAGATTCCCTCAGCTCCTGGTCACACACACCACTTCCTCCTTAACCAGTGACCACCAGGGCTCTCCTACCCTGTACTGAACAAGACCCATGCCAGCCTGGAGAGCGGGTTGCACCCAGCGAGTTCTGGCAGAGACCTAAAAGTGTACCGCTTCAGAGGATAGTGGGGACAAGGGAACCAGAGACGATAAGGTGAAAGTAGGCAGTTGGGGGATGATACTTCATAAAAGATCATAGCAGGAAGGGGAAGGGAGGGACAGTTATGTTAGGGTGATGCCAAGAGGGCAGAGGTATCTTTGGTGTGTATGGGCTCTGTACAGCTCAACTCTACTGAGTTTGTGGGTCTAATCCTTACGCTGGCATTTCAAAATGCAAATACACACCTTGTGGGCCCTACGTCTTTATCTCCAGCTAAAAGAGTTCAAGAGTTTGCTCTCACCCTCCTTGGCCAATCACAGGGGTGATCTTCACGTGTTGTTGAATGCTGTCTCCGGATTTCCGTCTGGCATAGTAAACCCCCTGCCACTCCTACATGGACAAAGACAGCTCTTAAAATGCCTTCAGTGGCTGTGACTTCTGGCTGCTTTACAGAGGGTCTTATCAGGTTGAGTAAGAATGTTCCCACATGCTTGCTTCCATTACATTTCACACTGTACCCACAGCAACACTGACGATCAAGAAGCCAAAATGCACTGCGGACTCCCGCTCAGCATGCCCACGGCCAGACTGTCCTGTGGGTCCCAGGACAGGTGACCAATTCCCCCAGCTGAGAGGGAAGCTGTGGAGTCCCTCCTCTCCCCTCGGAAACTGTCACTGGTCCAGGGACTCTGCTAAGGGGATCTTCACAGCAACCTCGTGAGTCGGATAGTACCCCCTAATTTACAGACGAGTAGACTGAGGCTCAGAGATTCTAACTAATGTACTAACCTGCCCACATTAGGAAGTGGAAGACCTAGTTTGAAATTTTCTCTCACTTTTCCCACAGTCTATTTTTCTTACACCCTGGGTGGCCTCCTAGCCAAGGTGTCTTGTCAGTTAGTCTGGCTCTATGCAGAGTTTCTATGGATAAGGCAAAGCAAGCTCTGGGGTGGGATGAAGAGCCAAGTGACCCCAGGGAAGGAGAGGTTAAATCAGAAACTAAGGTTCTCTGCAGCTATTTCATACTGCTCTCCAGCAAGGTGAATGACCTATGGTATGTATCAGGGCACAGGATGTGTGGCCGGGAGCTTTTGGCAAGTTTTCAGGAGGAGTTGACAATGTCTTGTTTCCTTTTCAATCTCATTCCCCCAATTGGGTTTTTGAGTAATTTTGAACATCTGATATAATGCAAACTCATGACATCTCTAAATATTAGACCTATCTTTATTCTTCCCTATTCAATGACTATAACGTCTGTCCAACTGCTTCACACCAGAGAAAAGAAGATGATAGAAATAATACATGAGGAAGCATTCAGAATACTTAAAAGAAACTGCACAAGTAGCTCCAGCTTTGAGAGTCAATGTTTGCCTGGAGGAGAGGATTGACGGATAATCCCTACTGCATCCCTTCTGTCGCCTTCATCTGCCTGAAGTAACCTACCCACCTACAATGAACCACGATGAATAAAGGGGAAACTGGCAAAAACAAAACAGATAAACAACCAACCAAAAAACCAGGAGCCTTGTAAACAGTGATACTAAATACGTCAAGTTCCCCCAACATCAGCTAAATGGAAACACAACAGCTCTGGAGTGGAACTTAGTTCAAAGACAGGCACCAATACCCCAGCAATGACAGGGGAGAGATTTTCATACAAAGGATGAAATTTCATTTTACAGAATCATCAGATCCTGTTATCAGTATAATCCCCACAGCCTTAGTGTCCAAAATTCTCTCAGAGTAGCCATTTGGCAAGCATAACACCCCCCTCCACCCCCCATTTAAGTAGCAATATCACACACTCAGATCTTCAGAATATCACATCATAAGAACTCTGCAGAAGCAAAGGCCCTGGGGAGACGGGAGGGGGCTTGTTTTGCTTTTTTGACCCACCTTGCCCTTCTTGATGCACGTATTGATGGTGTCCAGAAGGTCTGCCCTGTTTTTATCACTTTTGGGCAGCTCAGCGAGTTCTTTCCCCAGGAGCTCCCCTTTGTGATAGCCCATCATCCTTTCGAAGGCAGGGTTGACATACTGTTAAGGGGAGGAGGTTACAGTCAGTGCAGGAACCGGAGGTAGAATGTGTGTTCTGTAGGAATGCTTGGTGTCAGGACACAGAGGGCACACACTGGGAGGTCAAATAAAAAGTTCTCAGGGCGGCTGTTCTCCGTTACAGGTGCTGATCAGTTCTCTTTAGCCCCACACTTGCCCTCACTCATCTCCACAATGTAAGTCTTTACACAGTGTTACTTCCCTTCTGAGCAGCAAGTTATCCTAGTATCTCTATACCCTGTAAGAAAACAGGAAAAAAATTCTCCAACAGGAAAAAGCAGGAAGCCCTCTTCCACTCATACCAGCTTTCGGTGGGCCTCCTTCATTATCTGCTGCCCCAGGAGAAAAGGAAAAACTGAAATAAAACTAAATTATAACACAAAGAGGTTTTGGCTTAGATTAGTCACATCTCGGCAAGATGGCAGTTTGGTCTCTCATGCCTCTTTTCTAATTGCCACTATCTAATCAAGACTAAGGAGCTCAGGTAGCATAAGGAGCTTTGGTAGCATAGTGGTTACAAATCGGGCTGCGAACTGCAAGGTCAGCAGTTCAAAACCACCAGCTGTTTCACAGGAGAAAGATGAGGCTTTCTGCTCCCGTAAAGATTTATAGCCCCAGAAACCCTGTACAGGATCGCATGGCACATATCATGTAGGGCACTCCAGGCCTGTTTTGAACAACATGTTCAGTTAACTGCTTGGCAGGGAAGCCTCAGTGTTGGGAGCTGGGTGTGTGAAGCGATGTTCCCCTCGACACATCTCTGGGACCAGCAGACTCAGAAGGTTCTTTTACAAAATTCTACCAGGGGCTCTAGAATCTGGAGTTATTACCCGGGCTGACTCCTGGCTCCCACCTCTACTTTCTTTTCCAAGGGCACAGTCATTAAGTAAGGAGTAGAGAGGGACAAGTGACAACAGATACAGGAAAACAGGGGACGCTGCAGCTATGTCACAGGTTTCACTAGGTAAAATTCACATCCATTGCATGCTTCAGATATGTTCATGCAAGCTGTGCTCACTCTTGCCCTTGACCGTGATGACAACACTAATGGGATGAGTGTGGCAAGGACACTTGGAGAGCTGTGTCTTTGCGGACATAGCTTTGATGAATGAATGAACCCAAGCTTGAAGGGGCCAGGGGGAGGCTTGGGAGTCTCATCTCTGGGCCTGATGGAGTAACTGACAAGGAGGAGATAGTGGCACTGCCTTCACTGGTCTCCAGACCTGTCCTGACTCCATGACATACACGTGACAGAGCCACTGCCCCTCTTAGACTGGGCAGAGCATCACTTATGATATAGCCCCTGTTCACTGGGTCCACTCCACCTGCATCCCTCTTTCTGCCTAGAATACCCTTCCCCATCTCTCTACCTCACCCACTCCGACATATCCCTCACCTCCTCAGGAAGTCTTGAGTCCCTGCTCCATCTGAATTGGCAGCACCCTAAAGTCTTCTGCTGTCTCCTCTGTGGACTTCTAGTGCATTTATTGTGCAAAATTTAAATATGTATTTTTGTCTCTCCCACTAGACATTAAATCAACAAGGACTATGGTTATGTTGGATTTACCTTTGTATACTCAGGACAGTTTAGTAAATATTTGATAATGAAATAGATGGGAACTGAGAATACATTGCTTTCCTTATTTGCTGACTATATTTTCATACATTTTCATATGTAAGACCTCTGGCATCATGTAAAAATGATGAAAATTCTCACCATTGTTGTTTTCATTGTATTAAGTGCCTTTGAGTTAACAGTAACTCATAGCAACCCTGTATAGGGTTTCTGAGGAGCAGCTGGGGAATTTGAACTGCCAACTTTGCAGTTCAAACTGACCTTGAGGTCAAATACTTACCCTTACAGTACCACACCAGGATCCCTATAATAGGTTGAAAATATAGATAGAAGCCAAGGTCCTCCTTTCAGCTCAGGAATATGTAGCCTTAGAATACAGCAGGTACCCCAGGGCATGGACTCTGGAACCAAGGCACCCATGTTCCAACTCTGGCTCTGCCAATTACTAGCTACATGACTTTGGATAAATTCCTTAACTGGTCTTCAGTTTGCTCATCTGAAAAATTAGTATAATACCATCGGTTGGTTAGTTGTGTGCTGTGGAGTCGGTTCTGACTCATAGGAACCCTATACAGGGTTTCTGAGGCTGTAAATCTTTACAGGAGCAGAAAGCCTCATCTTTCTCCCAGATTGTTTAAAGCATTGTTTTATACAATACCACAAAGAGTGTACAAAATGCTTACAGGTGTACCTTGCCCATGGTAAACATCATTTAAGTGTTGTAAAGCAAGTAGATATTTTAAAGTAAATAGACATTTAGACAGACTAGGTAGATACTCAATAACATGATAAATGGAGAAAAGATTGTTTTGAAGTTGTCACAGACTTCATTTTGCTTAGATCCACAATGAACACTCAAGGAAGGCATTCAAGAAATCAAATTTGTATTAGGCAAATCTGCTGCAAAAGATCTCTTTAAAGTGTTCAAGAACAAAGATGTCAGCTTGAGGACTAAGGTGGCCTGACCCAAGTCATGGTATTTTCAGTCACCTCACATGCATGTGAAAGTTGGACAATAACTAAGGAGTATTGGAGAAGAATTGATAAATTTGAATTATGGTTTCTGTGAAGAAATATTAAAAGTACATTGGGCTGGAAGAAAAATAAACAAATCTGTGTTAGAAGAGGCACATCCAAAATGCTCCGTGGAGACCAGGATGGCGAGGATTTGTCTCTCATACTTGGGACATGTTATCAGGAGGGACCTGTCCCTGAAGAAGGACACCGTGATTGGAAAAGTGGAGGGACAGCAAGAAAGAGGACCTCTCCTACTGCCCAATGATGTGGAATGGCACAGTGGCAGCAGCAATTTGCTCAAAGATAATAACTGTGAGGATGGCACAGGACCAGACAGTGTTTCACTCTGTCGTACATATGGCTGCCGAGTTGAAACTGACTCAGCAGCACCTAACAATAGACAACAAGCCAAAGAGAAGGATCTTGTTCCTAAATTTTAAATGCCACTGCCTAACCTCCAAGTATCTGTACATACTCAGAGATTCATAAATTATTCAGAAGCAATTCCTGAGAAGACCCCTGGCATCATGTAAGAATGATGAAAATTCTCACCATTAATGACTCATCTTGAAATCGATAGCCCAAATGTTATTTGAATATCCCCCTTACATACAACATCCCTGATACACTGTCTTCCTTCTGCTCTCTTGCTTTGAGAGTTTTGTATTTACACCACTGGGGGAATTTTAAAGGGAGCATACAGGGAGTCCCTGAGGCAGAAACCCCTGCAAAGTCAGGAAAGTCTTATTTCAGGATGTGTTTCTCTTTCCAAGCAGTGACAGTGCCCCCCAATACCCTCTCCCAGGCACTCCTGCCCTTACATCGGCTTCTTCATATCATAATGCGGCACCACCACCATCTTCCTTCTCCCATAAATACATGGTTCTAATCACCAATTGATAACTTCAGAGTGGAGATGGACTTTGTTGTTGTTAAGTGACCATGTATAGAGTTGACCTTGCAGTTTAAACTGACCTGGTGGTCCAGTGCTTATCCTACAGCACCACACCAGGACTCTGAAGACGGACTTATAATTCCTTGTTTAAAAGGGTGGTCATCAGATAGCAAGTGAAGTAGGTGAGTAGAGGGCAAGATCTCTTTTTCTCCTCATCACTGAAATCCCAACCTAGCTACTACCCATGTCTGTTAAACAGGGATGCTCAAGTCAGGACATAAGTGGAACAGATGTGGATCTGTCTTTGTCTGGAATGGCAACACACCTGACCTTCTCTGTGGTCCAGGAGGCAGCACCAGGGACAGGTACACTACGAATAGGAGCACCATGAGAACGCCTTCAGATCCATTTCAAGGGGCAGTTAGAAAAGTGACTTCTACAAAGACAGTCCAATAGGGAACCAGGAGATGGCTTTGTACTCAAAAGAATAGGCTCCATATTTTAGCCCAGGATTTTCTTAGACAAGTACTCTTACGTTTCTGGGCCTCCGTTTCTTTATCTGTATATCATAAGTGCAATTATGTCTCTCTCATAGGGTTACTGATGAGAAATGAAAGAACTCAATGAAAGTGCTTCATGATACAGCATGGTAGACAGAATAATGGTCCCCAAGTTTCCATATCTGAAGCCCCGAAACCTACGATTATATAAGTTACATGGCAAAGGAGGAATCTTGGTGTGGCGCTGTAGGCTAAGCACTCACTTGACTGAAAGTTCGATTTGAACCACAAGGTCGGCAGTTCAAATTCACTAGCCACTCCTTGGAAATCCTATACTTGGTCTCTATGGGTTGGAACTGACTCAAAGGCACTTAATAATAATAGCAAAAGAGACTTTGCAGATTTGATTAAACTAAGGATCTTGAGATGGAGAGATAATCCTGTATTATTCATGTGGGTCCAATGTAGTTAAAAGGGTCCTAATAAGTGAAAGAGGGGAAGCAAGAGAGTTAGAAATTTGAAGCTGTTGCAATGCTGGCTTTGAAGCTGGAGGGAAGCATACAGCCAAGAAATGCAGGTAGCCTCCAGAAACTGGAAAAGGCAAGGAAATGAATTTTCTTTTCCCCTAGAGTCTCCAAAAGGAATATAGCACAGTTGATAACCCTGATTTTATCCCAGTAATCCATTTTGAATGTCTAACCTTCAGAAATGCAAGAATAATAAACTCATGTTGTTTTAAGGTGCCGAGTTCATGGTTGTTACAGCAGCAACAGAAAGCTGACAATAGGGCTTTCGCATGGGAGCTACTGAAGTTACTGGTCCAGGATGAGAGCTCCTTGTCTGTTTGTGTGCTGAGGGTGTTGGGGGAAAGCAGCTGTGAGGCTCCTGTGTGGAACACTGACTTTGGGAATTTACTCGTGACAGCCACCACAGCTCCCACTGTGGGCTACTGTATCGAAGTGTATGTAAGCCAGGACCAACTACGGCGAAATGTACCTCACACACCACTTTTAAAAAGCAGATGTACTACTTTCCAAAAAGCATAATAAAATATTATCTTGACAAAGAGTTTTCTACTCTACACATTACATTAGCAAAACTACTAACATATAAAAGTGCATTATAATTAGAATACCAACTGCAGGTAACTAAATGAGTATATTCTGTTTCCATTGACATTCATAGCATTTGCTCCACGGTTAAGATTTACTTCTGTGTAAATGTTTTCACAGATGGTCCAAAGAACTTACTACATCTCTTTCAATGAACCCACAGGCTCTGATCTGAACAAATACGTTTTTTAATTCTTTGTTGATACCTAGTTCTTAGGTTAAGTTGATCTGAATCCGCTTTGTGTACTTTGATTTTCCTTTCTCCAAAGTAAATGTGCTGAAAAGTGTGAATTATGGGAAAGTACTTAAAACAGGGGGCTCGTATTTCAAACACTCTTATCTTGATGACACCTGAGATAAAGTTGTTCCTTACCTGGATCACGTGATCATCACTTGTTATTTCTATGGCTTCATGACAGTGGTCTAATGCTGTAAACACCGAATTACAGGCCCTGCAGGTTGCAAAAGACAGGTTATTTCTGCTATAAAATTGGGCGCTTCTTCAGTGAATTTACTGAACTGTTCCCAGATTCATAAAACCATACATTCTTTTTAATATTAATGTACTTTGTAAAAAGGAAAACAAACAAACCAACCTTCTCTTTGAAACAAAATGAATAAACGGCATATATTTTTGTGTATATGATACAAAGAGAAGAATTGTAATTCAACAACAACAAAACCTTCATGGCTCATGGGATGAACTACACGTAGGCTGAATGAAACTTAACTCCAACCCAAGAGAACAAAGACACAGAGGAGATGGCCTTATGAATCCTCCACGTTCTGTGTCAAATGCATTCTTCTGTTCCATTTACAGTTGTGATCAAGGGAAAGTCAGGTCTCAATCAATTAGAAGAATCTAATTAGGGACTCACTGCATCTGAGGTATTCTGACCTTTTGACAGAGACACAGACACATTTTTTTCCTCCTTTCTTTCAATATCTCAGCTAAACAAGGATTTATGGAACTTTGCTGCAACGACATCCACTGGTACAGTGGAAGGCAAACATGGCAGAACCCCCCAAGCTGAGCTATACCATGCCAGGCTCTCAAATTCTTGGGTACCCTTTTAACTAACTTCCAAATCTAGAGCAGCTCCAAATACAGTAAGTTATTTAGTGCCCAGAGCTCTGTTATTTGTACTGGCTGTTTGAAGAATCACAGCTAAAGCTATCTTACACACTACAATACAAATATGTTGATTTACTGGATTGACATTTCTTTTTATGAAATAGATCTTAAAACATGGTTTCCTTTTTCCATTTGTATAGGCAGCCCAATTTTGTCATCCTGTTTTGTTTGCAAAGGAGAGGGTGGAAAGAACTCAATGGAATCTGGCTGAATATTTTGCCCATTACAGGACTTCGGGCAACCTTTTATTCTCTTTGGTCCTTAGTTTCTTCATCTGTAAAATGAGGATGATAGTATGTATTGTACAGGTTGTTAAGAGGATCAATACTGTTTATGTGAGGCATTTCTCAAAATGCTTGGAACAATGTAAGAATTCAAAGCATGGCAATTATTTTATTTGTAAGATCAGAGTGGTATTTCCTTGTCCTCTAAGACTCTCAAGACCTTTGTTCAAAAGAAAAATGAATCATAACCTAGCTTTTCTCATGAGTATACCTGAAATGTCACACCAAAGATTGTATTTAAGAATACCACAGTAACCTTCATAAATTGTCTAACTTGCTTACTATGGACATGCCATGAGGAAGGCTCAATCATTACAGGAGGACATCACGTTTGGTCAGTAAGAGTGTGGGAGCCCCTCAGTGAGATGGACAGGCACAACAACCCCAGGAGTGGTCTACTGTGAAGAAGACAAAGAAAGGCTGGGCAACATTTCCTTCTGTTATGCATACGAGTTGAATCTACCATCGCTAACAGCTATCACCTTCATGAAAAATGAAGGCTTTTAGGCCTACAGAAGGACTGTTCTTGTTTTTGTGTGCCGACTCACAGTGACCCTGTGTAGGATTTCTGAGAGCATCTAGTGGGTTTGAGTTGCTCACCTTGTGGTTAGCCATCCAATGCTTATCTTACAGTGCCACACCAGGGTTGCTATTAAGTTCCATTAAGTCCAACTCATAGCGACTCTGTATCGGGTTTCCTAAGAGCAGCTGGTGGGTTTGAACCACTGACGTTGCAGTTAGCAATCTAATGTTTATCCTACAGCGCCACAGCAGTACTCCATGTGTTCAGTTGTTGTTGTTGTTGTGTGCCGTGGAGTCTGTTCTGACTCATAGCGACCCTGTATAGGGTTTCCGAGGCTGTAAATCTTTATGGGAGCAGAAAGCCTCATCTTTCTCCCATGGAACAGCTGGTTGTTTCGAACTGCTGACCCTGAGGTGAGCAGCCTGATTCGTAATCACTACGCTACCAGAGCTCCTTCAGTGGTTCAGTAGTGTTCCTATATTTGCAGAGGATATTAGTATGTGAGGGTAAGTAAAACAAATAATCAAGATATGGGTAAGCAGAGAAGAGAATATAAACCTGTAATTCCTGATGTCTGTCATCTATATTCTTATTTCAATTACTCCAGCCTACCTGCTTTGGAATGTATGCTCTCCTATTACCACTGTTACATTTATAAATTCAATTATTTAAAATCAGGAAAAAAGAATAAAAGAAGACTTCAAAACTGTTACCAAAGTGGTTAAGGCATTGCCTCTAATGAAGAGACAAGCCAGAGCCAGTCTTATCAGTAGAATTTTCTAGGTACCTAGGCCCAGCGTCTACTTAGCACCACAGGAAAGCATTATACTCTGGCAGTAATGTACTCCAGATGTGAGATGTGCTCTAAAAAGACACTTAAAGTTTATGTGGAGAAACACATTCTATGTGGACCAATTAGTTAACTTTGAGAGCTAGATAATTAAGCCATAAATAAAACAGTTTATCAAATGATAACATCCTCTCTTGCCTAAGTATTTCATCAAAGTAATTTTATGCTTCAACTAAATATGCAAATAGGTACACCTCAGAGTATTACTATTTTTTGTCAATTCCAGAACTGCTTAAGATCTTTATATCTAACCTCTAAAATTTATTAAACATTCATTTTTATGATTATTGATATAGCATAAAATCTTCAATAAATATAATTCCCAATGAGACCAAGCAAATTCTTAGTAAGGTGAAAGAATATTGTAGGACCAGCAGATTATCCCTCCTCCACATACACACAGGCCAACACAACTGGACCACATTTTTTGGGGAGAGAGCTCTAAAGGAGCTCTGGTAGTGTAGTGTTTATGAGTCAGGTTGCTAACCTCAAGGTCAGCAGTTCGAAACTACCAGCCATTCCGCGGGAGAAAGATGAGGCTTTCTGCTCCTGTAAACATTTACAGCCTCAGAAATCCAATATATGGTCTCTATGAGTCAGAACTGACTCCACAGTACACTACCACCACCACCACCACCAAACCTTTCTTTGGAGTCCTGGTGTGGCACTGTAGGATAAGCACAAACTGCAATGTTGGTTTGAACCGCAAGGAAACCCTATAAGGGATCGCTATGAGTTGGAACTTACTTGATGGTAATTAACAACAAACCTTTCTTTAGCAAATATTAAAGAGGGTCCTGGCATAAAATCTATGAATACCATGGCACCAGACTTGGAAGCAGGATGACGGCGCTCTACTAAGATCCTGTCGGGCTCTCCATGTTTTCTTCTGTCAATTGTGGCTAAGGCAGTTGGGTTACATCATCTCCCAGTTCCCTCCCCTCAAGGTGTTCTAAAATCTATCAAAACAAAACACAAACACACTGAAGCCACCTGGAACAAGGGTAGGACTGGTCAAGGTGACAGCTTGTAGAGAAGAATCTGAACACAAGGCATATACCAGCAGGGGACTGAGAGGATGCGGGGACTGCTTACATATCCGCACCTGTCCCTGGACAGCGTTGCAGAAGGTTTCGGCTCCTTTAACACAGGGCTGTCACACAGAACCCATGTGTGGATAACGTGCTCTAAAAATGTCTGTTACTACCAAGATGCAGAGTGGGTTTCCATCAGAAATGTTTATTGTCTATAATCCAGGGCTGCTGCTGGGTTTTTTGTTTGCTTTTCCGAATGCCTCTGAGTTAGTTTTAACTCGTTGTTAAATGCCACCAGTTCTGACTCATAGTGACCCTGTATAGGGTTTCCAAGAAGCAGCTGGTGGTTTTGAACTACCAATCTTTTGGTTGGTAGTCCAGTGTGTATCCTATAGCATTACATGAGGAATGCAACTCATAAGGACCTTGTGTAGGATTTCCTAGGCTGTAAATCTTTGCAGGAGGAGAAAGCTTCATCTTTTTCCTGAGAAGCAGCTGGTGAGTTTGAACTGCAGATCTTGCAGTTACCAGTCTAGTGCTCATCCTACAGGGCCCCACCAGGACTCTAATTTAAAATTATTGCTTTTGTTAAGTACCATCAAGTCGGTTCCAACTCATAATGGCCCTGTATAGGGTTTCCAAGGAGCAAGTGGTAGATTTGAAATACCGACCTTGTGGTTAGCAGTCCAGTGCCTATCCTACAATGCCACACCAGGACTCGAATTTTAAGTAGTAAAACAAGCATGATGATTTGAGGATAACTGCCAGATATCAAACTAATGACTAATACAAAAGCTGGTACTGCATTAGTATAAACTGATCATGTTAAGCTCGCAACAAACAGCTAAATCCACATTTTTTTAATAACATAGCCCCCCCACCATGATATAATGGCAGTAGTAGGACATTAGAAGACATAAATGGCCATTACTGAGCCTAGATTACCACAGATACTTCCCATTTCATGAACCCTTCTGTTCAATAAAGCATTTCATCAGATATACACAGAAATGTGATTTAATCCTTTCATCTTGAAAAGTTACTCCCCAAAACAGAATTTTAAAAGTAGATCACATCTTTTGATCACATGATCTGTTTTTGTTTGTTTAGTAAATATGCCCACCATACAAGAAGACCTGGACACAAGTGCCCACCTTCCCCAGAAAGTCGACATCATCCTTTAATACAGACTGTCCTTACAGAGGGCTGCTAATGTTACATATTTAGCTGTAGCTGGGGGCGGACTTGTAGGGGAAAGTATTATATAATTAAACTATAATTATTCTGGCACTGTATAATAAAGAGGCTCATTTTCCCAATCTGCAACAAATGACAATGTTATTTGACTGCCTCTGAGGTACAGGTAGATGTTGAAAGTGTTCCTGAATGCCTTAGGAAGTTAGGGGAGGTCATCGTGTGGGTTGCTAGTCCAACATTTGATGGGCCCAGGTGTATAACACTTGGGGAAATCCACAGTATGCACCTCATCACCCCACAGAAAGATAATTTTGGATACAGTTCAAAAACAGTCAAAAAGCATCAGAATGTGCCCTTTGGTTGTTAAAATGATTATATAATTCTGAGTGTTTTGGTGTCCATCCAAAAGAAAAAGACAAAACAAAACAGAGGGAATAGAAGCAAATACTGTTGAATGATGATTCATGGAGGGGACTGTAATCATTACAATGCAATGCAATACAATACGATGAGTGTAGAACTGATGTTCTCCCCTTTAAACTATCATTCAATTCACAATAAAAACAAAACAAAAAAAGCCTCAGAGGAAATCAACCACAGTATTTCTATGAAGAACTTGGTCTTTCTTTTCCCTGCTGCAGGGAATGCTCTCATACTGGATTCCTGTGATGGAAAGGAACTCTTCACTGGTCAGCCTTGAGCGGGTGTAGAAAGTTTGGGGACAAGACACTAGAGACACTTTCCTTTCTGGGGCCACTGTCTCCCTGAGTCAAATCCATTTACCAGCTTTACATGGCTTTCCATTAAGAACTTGAGCTTATTTCATGATGACCTCTGCTATGGGTCCAGCTCCCCCAACTAGTTCCTGTCAGTGAAGAGTGAGAAATTATATAACTAGCTGCCACTGGGTCCATTCCAACTCATTCCAACCTACATGTGTTGGAGCAGAAGTACTCCATAAGTTTTTCAGTGATTGCTTCACAAGTAGATGGTTATACGTGTCTTACAGTGACTCTGAGTACATCTGAATCTTCAACCTTTGGATTCATTTCCGATTGTGTGAACTTTGTACCATCTAGGGACTTGAGAAGTTATGGTGGTGATAGCAGAAGTTATGTACCATTGAGTTGGTTCTGATTCATAGTGAAACCCTATATAGGGTTTCCAAGGCTGTAAATCTTTACAGGAGTAGAAAACTCTCATCTTTCTCCCATGGAGTGAAAGATGGATTCCAACTGCTGACTTTGTGATTAGCAGCCCAACACCCACCACTCTACCACAGCTCCTTTGAGCACTTACATAGCATTACTGTTGTCGTCACGTACCATTGAGTCAGTACCAACTCATAGCGATCCTACGGTATTCATAAACTTGCAAAGTTGTAAACCTGATAAGACCTTGACAAGTGTTCAGCTCTTGACTCTAAGCAGATTTCACCAGAGCAAGAAGCTGAAGGTCTTTCTTGGAATCTTGGTGTTAGATGGGGATGTTTATTTAAAATCGCCATACCTGCTTTCCCTTCTGCTCATCATACTCATTGGAAGGTGCCACGAATGCCCCTAAGAGGTGTGGATCCCCCAAAGCCTTGGTGGGCACTGAGGAATCTGTATAGGGCACTTTCTGCAATTTTAAACATGTTATCACATTGCATAGTGGTTACGAATCAGGCTGCTAACCTCAAGGTTGGCAGTTCGAAACTACCAGCTGTTTCGCGGGAGAAAGATGAGGCTTTCTACTCCCGTAAAGACTTACAGCCTTGGAAACCCTGTGCAGGGTTGCTATGAGTTGGAACCGACTCCACAGCACTTAACAACAAGGAAAACCAAAAACACCCAAACTCACAGCCATCAAGTTGATTCTAACTCCTAACGATCCTACATAAGGTTTCTGGAGGAAACAGCCAGCCTCGTATTTCTCCCATGGAGAGGCTGGTGGATTTGAACCACCAACACTGAGGTTAACAATGCCACCCAGGGCTCCTAAGTGAAGCACTTGTTGTTGTTTGTTGTTAAGTACCGTGGAGTCGGTTCCAACACATAATGACTGCACAGGGTTTCCAAGACTGCAAATCTTTACAGGAGCAGAACACCTCATCTTTCTTGCGCGGAACCGCTGGTAGTTTCGAACTGCTGACCTTGAGGTTGGCAACCCGACTCGTAACCACTACGCTACCAGAGCTCTTTATTTAAGATAAAATAAGGTGTACTTTGTTCATTTTCATTGTAGAGAATATATAATTAAAGAATTTAATCTAAGTGAAATCTCTTTTTCTAATCCTCTTTATTGTGGAAACATCTATAAATGCTTTATCTTTTTGCCCTCAACTAAAAACAGTGAGACCTTGAGGAATAAAGATAATGAATGTCCATTATTAAAGAACATAAATTACTGAACTAAAGGTGATGTGGCTTTCTAGAAAAATTCTATGAAGTTATGTGAAGGTAGTAAACATCCAGATAAAAAGAAACCAATAAACGTATTTTACATATACATTTATCAAGTCTTTGACAATATTCGTCACTAAATTCCCACTGTTTTGCAATTCCTTTTTACACTCATCCACCTAAGAAGGTAGGTGTTCAATCTCACCTTGTTAATTTAAGGCTGGGGTTGGCTCAGGATCGGGCAGTGTTTTGTTCTGCTGTGCATAAGGTCACTATGAGTCGGTACTGACTCGATGACACCTAACAACAACAACAACTCCATCCAAATACTAATTTCCCTGGCCCTCAGGAGAACCTACATATGTAGGTTGATGCTAATCCAGTCCTCCCAAAGGGCAGAGGATGGTGGAAAATAAGTCTCAAGTTCAGAAAGTTTTATTCCCTTAGGATGCAAAATAATTCATCAAGATAGAGTTATAGTCATTGCAGTAAAATGCTGTCAGCTTATTCTGCATCAAGCCTAACGCAATCACAGCCTCTCTGAGAAGTCACATGGGCATCTTCCTGACATCCTGTGGCCCCACAAGGAGTCCCGCCACCTACTCTCCAGCCAGAGGAGGGACCATATTGCCATTGAGTCTGATGCAGAGTGACCCTGTACAGGGTTTCCAAGGCTGTAAATCTTTATGGGAGCAAATAGCCTCATCTTTCTCTGGTAGAGTGGCTAGTGGATTTGAACTGCTCACCTTACAGTTAATCAGTCCTGTACTTATCCTACAGTGCCACTAGGGCAGGGTGAGGAAGCCAGAGTACTAAACTCATGCTGGGGGTGGGGGTGGGGGGGGAGCCCGAGCACAGGCAGGCATGAGCTGGTGTTGTCACTGTTGGTGCCATTGCGTGTCATATTCACAATTGTTACGTTTGATCAAGTCCATGAGTGAGGACTGTGATAGTCCACAAGGTCCCAGAAGTAGAGCACCCATAATCCAGAGTTCTGAGCAGTCCTAGACTCCCATCCCAGAATCCCATCCCAGAAGCAAGCACCTACAGGAGACCTAATGTTAAAGGATCATATACCTACAGAGACATGTAACCAACTCCATGATGGAACATCATGCATACTCAGGTCATGAACAGACCTTGCACAATTACGACTGTGCTAACATTGCAATTATTATGGTCAGCGTAAGAAATCAACTCAATGGTTTGTCTCTATTCATAACACTCCATGTAGGAATTCATAAATATTAAAAGCAGAAAGTTAAAAAGTAATCCTTACAGGTTATTCTTAATCTGGAGCTCACTGTGTAAAACTTAAACAGTACTTCTTAGGATATGTTTTTAAAACTGCTGTAAATAGTGGAGATACTGTCAAAAGAAGAAATGCTTCCAATTTATTTCATATTACCAAGGGGTTCCCAGTATATCCTGCCATTTACCAGCTGCCATTACCTGTTTAATCATCTCGTAGTTCCTGGTAATCAGCTAGAACTTGAGAACACCGGGTAATGACAGACAAGTTATTCTAAAGAACTGTTAACCTGGTGTTAACAAATGTCTACATACCGTAATTTGAACTGTGAGCGCACTTCCCCATGTTCTATTTGAATCAGTTCATTATAGCAAGCAATTATGCTGCTATTCTCCATGTATCTCTGAAAAGAAAGACAATACATAAGACATGTACAATTACTTCTTCAAAGAGTCAGAGAAACTTAATAGTTGCTCCTAGCACCTGGGTAACTCTATTACATAAGACAGTGGGTAGGATGAGATGGAATAAAGCTGCCATTAAGGTGTTCAAAATGCTTGTTAAATTGCCTGAGAAACAACCGAGCGGGTAATGGTACCTCCTTTTATAAAGAAGGAGTAAAGCTTTATTATGAACATTTACAGGAAAATAAACACAGAGGGGCATAGTCTAGCTCTCTCCCTTATTAATTACTAAGACATTTTTGCTTAATGCTGTGCAAATGAAAATCTACAGCAACATGGGATGTGCCCAGTGTGTGCCACACAGTGGAGTGGCATGCTGGGAGGGAACACTCTGCCTCTTATGTTCAGAGTTGACCAATGCAATGTCCACACAGGACGGGCACAGACAAGCTAGTGGGTGAGTGAACTGACAGATAAGCAACTATTCAAGATGAAGAAAGTGGAATACACACTGTCATTCATCAAAAAGCCAGTAAAGACCCACTGCATCCCGGGCATGAATCGCTCAGGTCCAAAGCTTGCAGGACAGTCGAGTATTTTCTACTTACACTCCAAGGAATTTTCAAAACACTTTTTACATGTACTGCATTATTCAGTGTGGAACAGGCATGATATTGAGCATGTTTCTTACATAAGCATGTAGACACTTAATGGGATGAAGACATGAGAAAAGTAAAAAGGGGGAAATGGTTTACATTTTCATTTATTACACACATACACATGTGCGTGCGCACACGCACACGCAACATTTTCTAAGCATTTGACCTGTAAACTACTAAATAGAAATATAAGTGATGAGAATTCCAAAGTATGAATTCCTGACTACTTGATCTCATTCTGTCATCCCTCAGGATAGCTAGATAGGACCTGCTTCTTAGATTTCGTTCAAACAAGTTGGGTAGAGAACCAATCAATCCCTTTCCATTGCCCACCTCCTCTCTCGGCAGCCCCGGTGGCTTTCTCACACATCTGTGGTGGATAAAAACCTAAAAACTACACCCACTGCCATCAAGTGAATTCCACCTCATAGACAGAGGAGAGCTACTCCTTAGGGTTTCTGAAGCTGGACATCTTACAGGAGCAGACACCCTCAGCATAGCTGGTGGGTTTGAAGCACTGACCTTACAGAGAACAGCCTAACACTGAACCCACTGGAAGACTTCTCCAAAATGGGTACATTCAAAGTCCCATGAATTTCCCTATGCCTTTGGTACCCTACTCTAACAGGCTGTTGTTCTTGTTAAGTGCTGTTGAGTCAATTCCGACCCATAGTGACTCTGTATAATTGGCTTTCTGAGGAGCGGCTGGTGAGCTTGAACCACTGACCTTGCAGTTCAAACACCTTTGCAGTCTGACACATTAGTCCACAGCACCACACCAGGACTCCCTTACAGGTAGAGATGGCTAAAAAAATATAGGGGGAGCCTATAAAAAGGAAACTACTACAAGAAACCAACAGAGACTTACAAAAATGGAAGAATGTACCATGCTCCTGGATAGAAAGACTTAACATTGTGAAAATGTCAATACTGCCCAAAGCAATCTACAGATATAATGCAATCCCAATCCAGATTCCAAAGACCTTCTTTAGAGAGATGAAAAAAAAAAACAATTACAAACTTTATATGGAAAAGAAAGAGACCCAGGATAAGCAAAGCACTGCTTAAGAAGAAGAAGAAAGTTGGAGGCCTCTCACTCCCTGATTTCAAAATTTCCTCTAGGGCTACAGTGGTCAAAACAGCCTGGTACTGGTATAATGAAAGATACATACATCAATGGAACAGAATTGAGAATCCAGGAATTAACCCATCCACATACAGTCAACTGATCTTTGACAAAGGGCCAAAGTACCTTGAGTGGGGAAGACACAGTCTCTTCAACAGATGGTGCTGACAGAACTGGAAACCAATATACAAAAGACTGAAACAAGACATTTACCTCACGCCATACACAAAGACCAACTCAGCATGGATTAAAGACCTAAATGTGCATCCCAGAATTATAAAAGTCATTAATGAAAAAATAGGGACAAATTTAAGGGCTATAATCCTGGGCACTCTGGTAGCATAGTGGTTACGAATAGGGTTGCGAACTGCAAGGTTAGCAGTTCGAAACTACCAGCTGCTCCACGGGAGAAAGATGAGGCATTCTGCTCCCGTAAAGATTTACAGCCTCGGAAACCCTGTACAGGGTCACTGTGAGCCGGAACCGACTCGACGGCACTTAACAACAACAACAACAAATCCTCGGCACACACAGACTATGAAACATTATGAAAATTATACAAACAAAAGAAGAAAAAATAGATGATTGGGATGTTCTAAAAATTAGAAACTTAAGTGCATTGAAGGATTTCACCAAAAGAGTATAAAGGGAGCCCACAGAATGGGAAAAATTCTTTTTCAATGACATGTCAGATAAGGGACTAATTTCTAAAATCTATAGGAAACTATAACACCTCTACAAGAAAAAGACAAGTAACCCAATAAAAAAATGGGCACAGGACATGAACAGACACTTCACCAAAGAAGACATTGGGGCAGCCAACAAACATATGAAGAAATGTTCACAATCATTAGCCATTTGTTGTTGTTGTTAGGTGCCGAGTCATTGTTGTTGTTGTAGTTATGTGCCGTGGAGTCAATTCCGGCTCACAGCGACCCTGTACAGGGTTTCCGAAGCTGTAAATCTTTACAGGAGCAGAAAGCCTCATCGAGTCATCAGAGAGATGCAAGTCAAAACAACAATGGGATATCATCTCACACCAGCAATAACAGTGAAGTTCAAAAATGCAAAGAACAACAAATGCTGGCGAGGATGTGGAGAGACTGAGACCCTCCTACATTGCTGGTGGGAAAGCAAAATGGTCCAACCACTCTGGAAAACAGTATAGCACTTCCTCAAAAAGTTGGAAATAGAAATACCATATGATCCACAATTCCTCTACTTGGTATATATGCACAAGAAATATGAGCCATAACATGGAGTAGATAAATGCACACCAATGTTCTTAGCAGCACTATTCACAATAGCAAAAAGATGAAGACAGCCTAAGTGCCCATCAATGGAAAAATGGATAAACAAACTTTGGTACATATAAACAATGGAATACTATGCTACCTTGAAGAATAACAAGAAAGCTGCAAGCCACTGCATAAAATGGATGAACCTTGAAGACATTATGCTGAGTGAAATTACTCAGTCACAAAAGGACAAATATTGCATATGACCATTATTGTAAAAGCTTAAGAAAAGATACCCATAAGAAAATGAAAGGCAAAAAAATGTTTGTTGTTGGTTACCAGTGGGCTGCAGGTGGGGGGAGGGAGGGTTTGGAGGTGGTAGAGTGAGGTAACTGTAGAGCACAGGGTAGGGACAGACACATAGTTTGGGTGCTGGGGAGGGCAATAACAAGAAGGGGGAGGGGATAGAAGAACAAGGTAGTAAGGGGAACACTGAAACAGGTTTGCATGGGCTAAATGCAATAGAGGTGAATAGCAATGCATGCTCAACTTTGGAACAACAAGACTCTGTGATACAGGGATCTAGGCATAGTTTGAAGAGAGGAAATAATACTAAGATACTTGACTGTCTTATGAATATTGGTTTCCCTTGCCTACTATTGTAAAATGGTCACTTGAGTTGGATAGAAAGGAAGGTTGGGAAACATGATTACAGAAAGCTTATAAGCCCGTCGTCAGCTTATAATTGATTGGAATACCTAAAAGGGGTTCTGTAACTTGCCCAGTGAAACAGGCCTCTTGAGAAGTCTTTGCAGTGTATAGGACCTTAGATGGAATCCTGAGCCCCATCCAGAACCTTCTGAAGTGGGACAGTCCCACTAGATAGGACACGCAGAGCAGCCTGGAACAGCTAGAGTGACAGAAGATACATCTTCAAAGAAAGATCAGCAGGATAAACCCAAAACAAAAATGGCAGTATGACTGGCTACTACAAGAATAAGCAAGTTGTTTGCCAGGAAGCCATCAAGGCAAGCAATCAAATTCCTTCAGGACAAACCCCCCTCTAAAACTGAAACTCAAAGGGAATACGTGAGCAGGCATGTACACTTGCTGACACCCACATTGGTCTACTGGTGAGTGAAAGAGAGGTAAAGGCAGCAATGAAGAAATGGGCTGAGTTCAACCACATTCCATAGACTCTCATTGACCTGGAGATGTGAGAGAGAAGAGAAAGGGCTGGTTGGTCCAAAGTGTGGTGAGACCAGGGGACACCTGAGCCCATGGACAAGGTCACAGCCACAGAGGGCTAGAGCGGAAAGTGAAGCATCCAGCTGATATGAAGTGAGAGGAAGTGCACAAGAACACCCAAAGTTTCAGACAAAACCCACTTGACCCAGCCTCGATGGCTTGATAATTAGAACTCAACTAGAGGGAGAGAAAAAATAATAATTAACAAAAAGAACACAACAATATTTGCTAAAGGAAACGCAGGTAAATTGCTACAGTTTGATGAACTTGACCTATACTCATGGAGGTTGTTGTTGTTGTTGTTGTGTGCTGTGGAGTCGATTCTGACTCATAGCGACCCTGTACAGGGTTTCCGAGGCTGTAAAACTTTACAGGAGCAGAAAGCCTCATCTTTCTCCTGCAGAATAGTTGGTAGTTTCAAACTGCTGACGGTGAGATTAGCAGCCCAATTCGTAACCACTACACTACCAGACGTATTCCTTTAGGCAAATCTGCTGCACAGGAACTCTTTAAAGTGTTGAAGAGCAAAGATGTCAGCTTGAGGACTCAGGTACACCTGACCCAAGCCATGGTATTTTCAAAAGCCTCATATGGATGCGAAGCTGGACAGTTAATAATGGAAGATCGTATAAGAATTGATGCCTTTGAATTGTGATGTTGGAGGAGAATACTAAAAGTGCCATGGACTGCCAAAAGAACCAATAGATCTGTTTTGGAAGAAGTACAGC